AAGAACCCGTCCAGAAGACCTATACAATTTTTTTTCTTTTTGATTTTTACCTGGATTACTGAGATGCATCAGGACACGGACTGGAGATTTCCCCGGTCAGTCTGCTCAAGGCTCCTCTCTGCTTCAAATAAAAAAAACATTTTTTTAAACATTCTGTAATTTATTAATCATAACTCAGGTTTTACTTGGTCTGTCGACACAATATAAAAATTGATGTTTAGCTTGAAGTCTGTATTTTGACACGATTTGGAACAGATTTTTACAGAGAGCAAATCTTTCCCACTAGAGTGATTTAAATTGGTCATTCGGCTAGGATATGAGGCATCCAAAGGATTGATTGTCATATTAATCGTTATCATGATTCTTTTTTTTTTTTTTGCCAATATCGCCCAACCTCGTATTCATTGGGTAAATCTTGATATAATGTGACAATAACAAGTTATCCAACACTTTGAACCAGAGGTCTTCAACCCTGTTCCTCATGACGCACTAGCTGCTTCTCTGCTTAGGCACACCTGATTMAAATAATTAAAAGAGCTACTCTGTATATGTGATTGAATTATTTGAATCAGGTGTGCCTGAGCAGCTAAAACATGCAGGACGGTGAGACCTCTGCAGACCAGTCTGGTCTTTGAGGAGCATTTCCCTGCATGTTTTAGATCAGGGGTGCCCAAACATTTTCCCCAAGGGGGCCGAAATAAAAATCTATCCATGGCTGAGGGCCAAATGCAGTTATATAATACATGAAATACAAATACTTTTTTAAAGTAAAGTCCTTTATTTTTAACAATTAACCTGTGCAGTGGCCCTTTTTTGTTTTAGTTTGTCATACGCTCAAGTAGCAACGACTCATGGAACATTTCATAAATTGATAAAATAAGAGTTTTTGTGGCCTTATAAAGTGTGCAACTCTACATGCGGGGTTAAATCTGATCTAAATATGTCTTGTTGTCGTTTCATGTTTAATCCTAATAAATCAAAGATATGTCAGCACCATGACTGAAAACTACGTTCACTACAGCCCTTTTATATAGTCATTTGACCAATGAAAACACTGTGTTTCTACCTGTAGGATAACAGCTTACAACCTTGTAACTTTGGCAACTGTTGGTGGGCCAAATCAAATGGCTTGGCGGGCCAAATTTGGCCCACGGGCCCCACTTTGGGCTCCTCTGTTTTAGATGTTTCCCTGCTTTGACACACCTATGAATGAGTGATTGACAAGCTTCTGTTGGGTTGGAAACCACTGCTTTGAACCACTTCTGTACATTTGTACTACCAGTCACACATCAAGAAGTAAAATATCAATGTATCCCTCATTAAGAATATAGGCTTTTGCAATGTGATGTGATGGAGGGAGGAAGATGAGTTCAAATCCATTTTAACGCCTTTAGAGATACAGTTTGAGAAGTCCGATTTGGACACGAGGAGGAGGAACAGTGAGTGTTTGTAGAAGAATGTAAAAAAAAATGCAGCTACCAGTGGGAAAACACTAAGAGGAGATAGATGGATGACTTTAGAGAGGACCGAATGAGGAGGGATAAGAAGAGGAGGACATCGTTTATTACCATTGTTTTATTAAGTTGTAAGGTTTAATTGTCCCTCCCTCTCAGTGCAGCTTTCAGTTCATTCAAAAGTGTAAATATATTAACAGTGTTGTATAAAGTACCACAAAGATGCTTGAGTAAAAGTACAAATATCTTGCCAAAAAATTACTTTGGTAAAAGTTAAAGTACTTCTCAGGAATATTACTTGAGTAAAAGTCTTAAAGTATCTGATATGTTTTGTACTTAAGTATTAAAAGTAAAAGTATTGATTTAAAATGAACAGTTAGATTTTCTGTAAGGATATTTATTAGGAGGTGACCTCCCCCCAAAAATGCAGAAATAACTATATTGTATTAAAATAATTGATGTTAAGTTTAGGATGCACTAGTCTAGCTGTTTCAGTTTATATACATATATCAAGGCTGCGCAAACATTTTCCCCAAAATTAAAATCTATCTGAGGGCTGCGGCCAAATGTAATAATATAATTCACCAAGTACAAACACTTCTTAAGTACAGTCCTTTTATTTTAATGATCAAATCCTGCTGGAGTGTGGTATGATTTGTTTGTGTACAAACTAATACAGTATCAGAGTTTTATATATTTATACTTCTCATTCAACCACAATTAAATTCACTCCATAAAAGGCACAATTTATATGGATGGTATTTATTTTTTTACAATAACAAGTACAGATAATTGCGTGAAAATGTAAGAAGTAGAAGTAAAAAGGCTGAAACATAATTACTCAAGTAAAGTACAGATACACAAAAATTCTACTTAAGTACAGTTGTAAGGTTTAATTTCCCCCCTCACTCAGTGCAGCTTTCCATTCATTCAAAAGCGTGTATGTATGAAACCGTGGATGTTTACGTTAGTGCGCGCTTACGCGTTGCTTTACGGTACAGCGGCGTCGTTGCCATGACAACCCACATCCATTTGTATCCGTGTACAAAAAACAGCTACCCAGAGGAAAGCGAATCGACGTTGCTGTTTGGAAAAATACACGATAAGTTTTTTTTTTCTTTGAAACGTTTGAGTTGTTAGCATTAGTCCCTCGTGTTTCAGCGGTATAAACGCGTTTGTTTATGGAGGACTCGCTGGACGATAAGACTGGAGCCGCAGGAGGAAGTGAAGGACCTGCAGCTTCTGATGAAGCCATCTCATTCCTGTCCTCCTTTGGTGAGTTCACTGACTTTTACAAGCGCTCAGCTCCATTTAAAGTAAACTCAAGTCATGTACTGCTTTCAACATTTCGTTTGTAATACCGTAATGTTTGTAATCTACAGCACGTACTATAAAAACCCCTCATTTAATTATTACTTTGACCAGTCAAAAATCTTTGTAGTTAGTCAGATGTWATAGTATTCATGAGCAAAACTGCCTGAAAAACAGACCCTCAATAAAACTTGTAATGTAATTTTTTAAAAGGGTACCACTTTACAATAAGGCTGCCCTTATAGATGGCTTATAAAGAGTTTATAGATAGGTTATTAATTAATCTGTAAACACTTTAAAAATTATTAATAAGTTTATTATGCATTAATTAAGGACCAAAAAAGAGACTAAACTGTCTGGTTTCTTTCCAAATACTGAGCCGAATCTGTTTGTGTGTTAAACATTTCAAACTAGTTTACTACCTTGTGTCACTATAATGATTAAACATATATTTTAACATATAATATTGTGCTGTATTACTGCATTATAAATATCCACAAATYTTAAAGGGATCCTTTTTGTAAAGTGTAAAACTGTACACTGTTTTGGATGGGGTGGGATTATTTGGTATGCTAAAATTATGTGATTTTTTTTTTTTTTACTCTTTTGATACATCAACATTGTTGACAGTAGTTAAGTGTTTGAACAATAATTTCTAATATTGATAATCAACACAAAGTTTTAAAAATGGTGATTTTTCACATTAAAGACTAACTTTTGGCATTTATAACTGTTTATTTGTCTTTAATAAATAGTTTACTGTATTACACTTTACGATAAGTCTCCCTTTGACAGTTGTGAATACTTCTAATGCAGTAATACAGTACATTGTTAATATGTTAAAATTTGTGTTTCTTATTGTTATTGTGCTTTCAATGTAGTAACCTAATGAAATGTTTAATAAGCACCTTTAGATGTAATATGTAAATGAACAGGTTTGTCTTATTATTTGGTAAGAAACTGGACAGTTTTATCTCTTTCTCATCCTTAATTATTGCATAATAAACATTTATTAATGATTTATAAAGTGTTTACAGATTAATTAATAACCTATCTATAAACTATAAGCCATCTTTAAGGGGAGCCTTGTTGTAAAGTGGTACAAAAAAGCTTGCACAGTAAATTCTCCTCACCAGTTTTTCATACATTTTACTGAACATAGATACAATATTTTCAAACATGGGAGAAAATCCAGCCATCATTTGTCAGCTGAAAGACTTTTTTTTGCAGGATTGTTCAAATTTTCTTCAGAAGAGATTAACAATATACATCTAAAAATCATAAACAATACATTTTATTTGAAGGAGACTTTCATGACACTCAAAAACACTAAATAAAATTCAGTAACAAAAGAATAAAACAACAATAAAACATCATAACTTAAATGGAGGTAATGAGAAATGGATGTTAAACAGAATATGCCCGTTTAAAAAAGAGATTTAGGTTGTGATTTAAAAATGGAGATGGTGGGWGAGTTTTTAATGTTCGGGGGAGAGCGTTCCAGAGGTGGGCTGCTGAGTGACTGAAAGCTCTCGAGCCCATCAGAGCTGCTGCTGGGTTGAGGCGGAGGACCTGAGAGTGTAGGTGGGTGTGTTAATGTGGAGAGGGTCTGTGAGACACTGGGGGGACGAGGTTATCGAGGGCTTTGATGGTGAGGAGCAAGATTTTACAGGAAATTGGATGGGGAGCCGGTGAGGATGTTGCAGGATGGGTGTTATATTAATAGAGGGGCTTCTTGAGCTTTGAAATGTTCCATATTTACAACATTTGGTTTTAATTCAGTGAGAAAACACGCATTTTAAAATTTGTTAGCAGTTTTCTTGAACATGGTCTAAACAAATCAACACGTTTGTTTTCTGCACATTCAGTACAGAACAATGAATACTGATTAAACAGGTATAAAGATAAGCTTGTAATTGGGGTGGCAGGTTGAATAAAAGAGGTTAAAGTGCCTGTGACATCAAAGTTTTGTAATATTATGAATGCATTTTTGGAAAGATAACATAGATAACATATTGCAAAAAATATTTTATACCGTTGAGATGAACAGTTGTTGAGATATTTGCATGTGAAGTAACAGGAAGTGATGTCAAAGGGGAATGTCTGAATGCAAACAGAGAATCGCTACAATGGCCGACAACACAGTTTTTATCAAAGAGAGTTCAAAGTATGGTTTTAATAAACAAAGACCAGAGAGTTTTATTTATTGAAGAGTTCCCCTTTGATGTCACTTCCTGTTTCATTTTGGCTGAGCCAAATTCAAAAGAAAATATGCCAGTTAAGTGACAAAATGGGTAAAATTATGTTTTTTATGCCAAGTTTRTTAAATATAAAGACATTTTCTTTGACTTTTTGTATTTGAAGGATATGCATGTCACAGGTACTTTAACTTATTTACTGAATCATGTTTGTGGGTGTCAGCTGTGTGTTATGCAGAGGTCTATAAAGTAATTGAGAAAAATAACTAAGTAAAAGTAAAATTACATGAACAGAAAATGACTTTGATAAAATTAATTTCACTGATGAGAAAACTACTCAAGTAAAAGTCATAAAACTGTTCACAAAAATCGGGAAAATAAAAGTTAAAGTAAAAGTACTTTTACACACTCTCTAAGAAATAAACTGTTAATTTTACTGAAACAAACTGATCAGCCAGTTTGAGTAAATTGAGCAAAATATTTATATACTTTGCTCAATTTACTCAACTAGGCTTAGTGGAGCCAGTTGACATGAGTTGAGTAAATTCAACACCTCATTTTTTAGAGGTCATAAACATCTTTCATCATGAGTTTGAACATATTTAATTGTGTTAAATTTTAAAGTAAAGAAGTAAAACTATAATTTTTAGCTTTAAAATGTAACAAAATAAAAGTACCTATTTAAAAAAATAATAGGTAAAATTACAAAAAAACTGTAACAAAGTAAATATACTTAGATTATAAACCTCTGGTCTCATGTCCTGCCTGTGTCCTTCCATGTTTGCCAGAAGCTGCAGAGCTGCAGAAGTGTGTGTTCTCAGAGACTCTGGGGACGGTGTCAGAGAGCGGCAGGGACCTGGGGCAGTTCAGTGTGACTMTGGAGTTTGCCAGCAGAGTCCAGCAGCCCTGCATGCTGCTGCGTGCTCAAAGCCACGGGGTTATTGATGGCTGRCCCTGTGGGACAACAGTGACAGGTTTGTGGGCAAGATGAGCCCTAACGTTTCACATTTACAAATGTGTTTATTACACACCTGTTCATGCCTTCTGTTCTGTTCACTTTTCACTACACAAGCTTATCTAAGTGCTGAACTGGAGGTGCTGGAGGAGGACCACCAAGAGTATGTGAAGGTGGGTCACTGCTTCACTTTAATTCAGCAAAATCAGTTTACAGTGAGAATTTAGCCTGTCATCTACAATCACCTGTTTTATATGTTTTTAATGTGTAACATTCCTGCCTTTTCCTGCAAAATCCATGTTTTTAGCCGTTAAATACATTTTGTTGTGAAGTTAGAGTCTCTAGGAGTTCAGAAAAGTTGAATTTAGTCTCTCTGCAAAAATATATTTATAATCTGTTTTCTGAACTGTCACATCCAATCACAAATTATTTACAACTGAACTGCCAAATAATAGTAGGTTATCATTCTCCTTTGGCTCTGGGTCAGACTGTGGTTCCAACATGTAAGGCTGGATGGACAAGTGTTCCCTTGTTGACATCTTTTAATTAATTTGTAAATAAAACTCAGCTAAAAAAATAAAATTTAAAAAATATGTCCCTTTAAAGCAGTGGTCCCCAAACTATGGCCCGCGGGCCGGATCCAGCCCGCCTCCCCATTTGGTCCGGCCCCCAGAACAATACCAGAGAGCATTTAGTTTTTT